AAAATGAGCAGTTAGATTTTCTGTAATGACATTTATTAGGAGGTGACCTCCCCCCACAAAAAAATGCAGAAATGACTGTTGTATTAAAGTAATTAATTTATGTTAAATTTAAGCTGTTTCAGTTTATATACATATATCAAGGCTGCCCAAACCTTTTTCCCAAAATGAAAATCTATCTGAAGGCTGTGGGTAAAATGCAATAGTATAAATCATGAAATACAAATACTTCTTAAGTACAGTCCTTTTATTTAATGATTATGTCCTGTTGCAGTGTGACATGATTTGTTAGTGTACAAACTTATGTTATCAACATTTTATATATTTATACTTCTCATTCAACCACAGTTAAATTCACTCCATCAAGAAGGCACAATTTACATGATAGTATTTATTTTTTACAATAACAAGCTGGAATGAAAACAAGCAAAAATGAAATAAAAGTAACRACTTTCTGCTTGTCTTTTTACAAAATGTAAGGAGTAGAAAGTGCAGACAACTGTGTGAAAATATAAGAAGTAGAAGTAAAAAGTAGGTTGAAAAAGAATTACTCAAGTAGATACCCCAAAATTATACTTAAAGTATTTGTACATAGTTACTTTACAACTCTGCTAATATTACCTTAACTGTGTCTGAGAAATTAAACATTTGCTTTCTAATAAAATACTTCTGTTGCAGCTCATGTAAGCAGCTACATCACCATAATACACTAATATTACTGTAACATAATGCCTAAGCATGAAAATTTGTACTGTAACTACCAGTTATTAATTTGTGGACATTGTCCTCATATGTCCACTTTAGATATGCCTCCAATTAGCTTGGAATATGAGGACATGGTGCAGGTAAAATAGCATCAAACACTTGAAATGCTGAGCTGGTAATTGTTCTAAATTAAGGTTTATGGGTATTATACCAAAATCACTTCAAACCTTGATGGTTTATTCTTACAAAACAGAACACACAGTAACTGTCTTCTGAACAGCATTAAACTTTGTTTTTTGTCACACACTTATCATCTTCACTGGGACTTTGCTTTGACCTTCATTCCCATTTCACTCATTTCTACAGCCCARCCCTGACCCYTACCCTAAACCTAACYCCCACCTGACCAAAACTTCATTCACATCTTAGYCCCAAACCCAACCCCTCCACACAAAAACAGYATTTAAACTAATGAGGTCCAAAGTCTGAACCCCATAACAAGCAGTGGGTCCTAACAAAGTAGCACGTTTTGTAAAAATGGGTCTTACAAGGTAACATGCTAGAACACACACAAAGAACAATGTGCATGTTTGAATTTGGATGTGTTGGATTTAAACTTTAAGAAATGCCTGTATGCCACTTAGTGATTATTATCTGGACCAGAGTTCTTCAGCTAAAGGCTTTTAAACTGAACATTTAGGTAATCATGCTGTCATTATGTTTGATCTGTTGTGGGCKGTTTGTGGTTTGATCCTGAGAGAATCGTTTATTGGGCGTTTCTGTTGACAAAACCATTCCCCTGATAGGTTCRTCATCATTACCAGATTTAATGATACGGCAGCTGGTGTGAAAATACACAGCTAATCCAAGTGGCAGGAAACATTCGAAGCCTAGTCATAAATCAAAAAATGATTCATGCATCACTTGTAATTTTGTCTGTTAATAAATCCTTTGTAACCTATCATGTGGAGTCAGAGGGTCTCTCCTTCATTGCTGACAAATGTCAAATTCAGCACATGAAGTCCAAGAAGTGGAGAATTTAATGTTTGATTAGAATCAAGTCATCCTGAAAATCACACGGATGAAAAGAAAGYCGACAAGGACGGACCAGAATACTAACATTTCACAGAAGCACCACTCAAGTTTCTGTATGGAGCTGCCAGAGACGTTCCTGTTGCTCAACCTTCATATATATTGGTTCAAACAACAAATAGCTTGAAAAACTCAGCCTGTACCAACAAAAATAGATGGTTTGCGCTGAACTAAGGTTTATAACCTGAGGGCATCATTTAGCTTAATAAATATGAAAACAAAACATTTGAAGCAAATAAAAAAATATATTTTAGTGAGCTGAAGTGCAACTGCAAAAGATGCCTTGAGTGCAGACTCCTGTGGTTCATGGTAAAAAGTTGATGTTTAAGTACCTGTGATTTCAGTAAATATTTCGTATTTAGCTTTGTGCAACATGTTGTAGTGGTGTCTTATATTAAAATACTTCATGGCAGACAGTGTCTCTGAGCAAACCAAACATAGGTTTATCTTGAAATTCTGTGAACAGATAATCTACCACCCCAAAAAAATTGTTTTGTATTTTTAGATTTTTTTTAACTTAACCTTCTTAAAGCAGTTCTTAGATTTTACGAGTGTTTTTTTTTCAAGTAAAAAAAAACATAAATCTCATTGGCAGGCTGGACAGAAGTCACCAGCGGGCTACATACGGACTGCGGACCAGCTATTGACCAACCCTGTTCTAGCTATGTACTGGTGTTTATTGCTTAAAAATGGACCTCAGATAAGGGAGTCACCCTAAAGGGAGCTTGTCAACAATAAGCTGCTCTCTCACTGCCATTTCATTATTTAATAATGAGCAGATTGATTAAAGTGATAGAGATGTTTACATGAGCGAAAATATATAAAAGTGTGCAAGAAATTTAAAAAATTTGAGCCCTTAAAGCGTAAAAATTCAAAGATAAGGACAATCTTACCCAATCAAAAAGCTAAGACTTTTATCTCAACATGTCTGTTTTCATTTCTTTCTAAAATGTGTCATTTCCTAAATGTCATGAAGAAGGGTTTTCTGTAAGTAATATTGCTGGACTCTGTTTTTGATTCAAAAACAAGAACAAGTAACATTTTCGACAAAGCTCATAATTGTTGATCAGCCTGATTAGCTTGAGATTACATGCTAATGTTGAAAAAAACAAAGAAGAATTGATAAAACCATTGTGGTGTGACAAAACAGCAAAGTCTCAGCTGAGCTAACGTCACAGTTTTTGCTAATAATTAGATGTGTGTAATCATTCTGTCTCCATTCTGAACTCTGAGGGAAAACATATTTGTTTTGTGTCTGACATTTTTCCTTCGCTTTGGGCTTGTTTCCTAAAATAATAAAATCTCTTTATTTAACTTGAACATGAATCACACTGACTGAACAAAGATGTGAAAGACGTCAATTTGTGTTGGCTTCTCTCGTTGAAATTGGAAATAGCTCAAACACCACAAGGATTCATCTTTTTGTTGAGCTTTGAAAGCAGCGAGAAAAGGTAAGGACGTCTTCAGGGTGTGAGTCACATTTAATCTAACATAAAGTACTTTACTTTCACTGCAGACGAGGCGTCTCGTTAATTTTCAAAAAAATCTGACAGTGAAATGGCACGATGCAGATCTGTTTATCACCTCTAGGACTAAAACAAATAAAATGGAATGCATTGTTGGCATCACATCTCTAACAGGGTTATCATAAAATAAAAAATAAAAAAACACTGACACCTTCTTAAAACTTTGTCTACCAACAAACAGAAAGGTGCACCGACCAGTAATAACTGCAGATATCATGCATCATGCTGAAAGGAGAAGCTCAACACCTGGATAAAAACAGCTAATATTGTTTGAGTAAGTTGAGGTTGAGAGAAAGGCAGTGAGAGACACACTGAGGTGAAAAAAGACAAAAAATCCTTACATTCTCATAAATTATTTGTACATAAACCAGGAAAGGTTGTTGGAGGAAAATTTTGTTTGCAAAGGTTTTGACATTTTTAGGTATTTCAAAAGTTTGAGTGACACTGTCGGCTGAACTTTTCATAGGTACATCTCCAAAAGAATCAAAACTGTAAAAGTTATCAAAGTGTCACTTCAGACATGGAAAGTCCAACTTTTTGTGCCATATTTCAATTTTTACTTATGTTTTAGCTACTGGGAATATGTCAGTAATAGCGCTCCTACCCAATGAAAGAACTTTTTTTTCTTATTTGCTTACATTTTACAATCCAAAGGTCATAGCTCACTTTGGCCAATCAACCTGCACATTTTGATGCATATTTTACAGGTTTTACTTCACATATCAATCACAAAATATGCAGTATTTTTTAAAAACAAAATAGCAACAGAACCAGTTTAACAAAACAGCTCAAACAATCTGAAAAGTCATAAAATATGAGAACATAAAAGTGCAATTTAATGGTTTGTGGTGGCTTCAGTCTCGAAAGAAACAACGGTCACAGAGAGTCAATCATGCAGACGTTCAACAAAGTCAAACATTACCAGGTTTCTTTTTGTTGTTTTTAATAATTACCAGTCACAGGGTGTGTGCTTTTCAGGTAGGAACCTCACCTGTGATCACTGTAACTACCTGCAGGTGTATAGGTCTTCTGGACGGGTTCTTCTCTAATGAAACGTTTCGTCTCTTCTCCAAGAGACTTCTTCAGTCTGAGAGTTTGAGGCAAAATCCAGGCTTCAGGAATTGATAACTGATAACTTCAGGAATTCAGGAAGACCCCAAACCCAGACCCAAACCAGTGGTTATTCCGTATGTTGCGGGTGTTTCGGAGAAACTGAGATGTTTATTTTCTAAACATGATGTCCCAGTGGCTTTCAAACCCCAAAACACATTACGGCAAAGGCTGGTTCACCCCAAAGATCCGGTGCCCCGGCACAAACAGAGCAATGTAGTATATGCTGTTAATGTCCTGATGCATCTCAGTAATCCAGGTAAAAAATCAAAAAGAAAAAAATTGTATAGGTCTTCTGGATGGGTTCTTCTCTAACGAAACG